TTTTTATAATTCAAATAATGCTTCTGATATAATGAATGAATTTTACCCGGCGTTTCGTCATTATCCCTGCAAACTATTTAAAATTGTATTTGAATTTGATAATATTTGTTGAAGTTTGGAGAAATTAGAAGTATTAAAAAAATTTATTAATTAGCATTTTAATTAACAAACAAAAAAAATTACAGCGAATGAATAAAATAATTTCAGTTAAATGACAGCAATCAATATTGATAAGTGATATTAGTGATTATCATTCTATACCACACAGTCAATATTGATTAGTGATATTATCGATTATCATTCTATTTTTGATAAAACATTTGTGATTTTAAAATTTCTTAATTTTTATTATATTTCAAAATAAATCAAAATATAGCTTACAATTCATCAAATGGATTTGTATAAATGAGTACAAGAAAATTGGCCAGGTATAAAACAAGCAATGCCTTCATTGTCGGTAAAATTTCTCTTTCTTCTTATAGCTCAACTAGAAGAACTTTTTGTTTAGTATCACATTTATGTCAAATTTATGTTGAAAACAATTTTTTCAATAATTATCATTTGTTTGATCTTTGATGCTAAAAAGTATTTCTAACATATTACTTTCACGATTTCTGTCATTTTCATTATCAGTAATTAACAGTCATTATCAATAATACTTTATTTTATTTGTACAATTTGCTAACAAGTTGTTTACGACGTTTCAATACGAAATATCATTTATAATTTTGGTATACTGTGGTTTTTTGATAAGGAAATAATAACGATATTTGCTTCAAATTTTTAAAAGCGAAAATTTTTAAAAGCTATTCTTTTTTTTGAATTAATTTCAAGCTTGAATACTGAATCCATCAGAGAATTATCACATATCAATTTCATTTTGTCTACATTAACAATTTAACAAATTTCGCTTATATTTAATTTCATTTGAATAAATTGACATGCCAATTAGAATTAAGCTATGAACGTATCATTTACTAACTGTTGTTACATTGCCGTAGAAAAATATCGGGCGGAGATGGATAATAATAATAATAATAATAACGTACCGAATAACATTTATAAATGCTATTCAATCTTTATTATTATTATAATTGTCCACTGAATAATATTTGAATAACATTTATAAATGAAAGCCAATCGATTGACTGTCTTTTCGGTATCTTAAAAACAATTGCCAAGCTGATGACCATTTTTTGCAAAAAAATTTGAATCTCTTAGTTTTTGAAAGCCTCTTTAGTATTTCAACTTTATAGGAAAAGAAATGGATCAAATACCTGTCATTACACTGAAGTAAACAAAATCCTAAACAAAATTTTAGTGAAATAAAGGTCAAATATTAATGGAACGATCAATTTAAAATTTCAAAAGCTTATAGCAATAAATGAATTATCTTTCAATTTTGCTTTCAGCGTTTTACAAATAACAATTTCATCCAATCTTAATCATATGAAAAAGTTTCATTACATATATGGCAATGGAAAAATTTGCATCTTTTATAATTGTCATATTCTTCCAGATAAGATATGTTTCGGTTATTGGATATCGCTGCTGCTGATGATCGGTTTTCTTTTTTAAATAATAAAATTGCAGAACAAAAGAACTGAATCGTTTATAGCCGTTGGAAACAGACTGTACTCAAATACTTTATTGCCAAATATTTAAAAGCCTAATTTCATCCAAGAACAATATTCTATGTATATCGTAGTACTTATTAAAATGTTTGTCTAAAGATTGATTTTCAAATAACCGAAACAAAAATTGAATACTTTCAATTAAATTGATTGTTTTAAATTATTGCTTTCATTAATTTATCAATTCTTTGACCATAAGTACGATAACAATTAAAGCAATTGGTTGTTGAACGGTTGAAAATCAATTTGCTGATACTGAGGATTTATACGATGAATCCTTCAAAATATTAATGATTTGAATTCCAATAAATAATTAATTTGAATTTCAATAAATTCAAATTAATTCAAAGTTTCAAATTTTTGTAATAGCAATGCTTCATCGTTTTTTGGTGACAACTTCACATTGGATTATTGTGTAATCCCTTTGAATGATTCCATTCTATTCTGCAAAGAATTGGTGACAATTCTGAACTGTGACGCAGTGGTTATAATCACATTTGCATTAAGCTATTGTAATTTTGTGTAACTAACAAAAAATTTTTTGGTGTAGTAAAATTAAAATTATAATGCGGAAGGAATAGGCTTTTGTGATTATATATGACCATAGATCATACGGCTTACCGGAATGCATATAAACGGTTCTCTCTGTTAATGCGACAAATATCACTACATTGGATTGGTTGTCTGCAAAACATATTTTTCGAAATGGCTTTGACAATTTCTACATCCCATCACTTCTCGATTATGCATCTGTTATTTTATTTCGTAGTGCTCATTTTGCCGTTGTACATCGCTCAAGTTACGGTATGTGAATATGATATTGTCTCTCAATATAGAAATTAAATGTTTGCAAAGTTTTTAATCGTAGATAAGAAGAAAAACAGCTGCTTTCTGTGAAGGAAAATTAACCTTTTCATTTCTTGTCTTTTTCCCTGTTACTACTAAATAGTCAATATTTTGCGATCATATCGCTTAGCAAATAATAAAGCGAAATGCTAAAAACTTGCACGTTGAATGATCGATTCATTTCGGTCTGTTAATCCTTCTATCTCAAATTAACAGCTCAATATATAACAAATGACCTTTTTTTTAAATTATTGTTGCAGTTATTGAGCTATTTTTAAAACATAGAAGTTGTTGTTTTTATAACTGTTTTCATTCAAAAATTCTACAATGATATCCGCACAATGCCTCTGACTATTGTTATTCAAGAATCATAGGAGAAAATCGTTAAATCCATAAAATCATTTTGGATTATTTCAGATGTCAAATGAAAGCGATCGGCCAATACGAGCGGGATTAGAAAATGATGACAAAATAGAAACGGTGAATAATGACTCTAAAGCAAACGAAAAATGGTTCAAATGTGTCGAATGTGGTCAGAAATTCACTCGTGCAAGCAGTCTCAGACGCCATAAGGTGTTACATACGGATGAAAAAAATTATAAATGTGAGGTATGCAATGAAGCATTCAATAGGCCTTCAATTCTGAGGAGACATAAATTAACGCACGAGGAAGGACGACCATTCAAATGTGTTATGTGCGGTAATCGTTTCAAATATCGCCAAAATCTGAATGCTCATATAAAGACACATACGGACGAGAAGACATTGAAATGCAACGTATGCGGAAAAGGATTCAAACACGTTGGAAGTCTGCATAACCACAAATTCACACATGGAAACGTACGATTCGTATGTAAAGAATGTGGTAAGAATTTCACTCGGAATTGTGGTTTGAATAGACATATGATAATGTATAAAAATTGCGCAAATCTGAAGGCACATAATTTGACTCACGGAAGCGAACGACCATTCGAGTGTCACGTGTGCAATAAAACATTCAAAGAGCCCAGCAGACTGAAGAGACACGAATTGATGCACGGAAATGAACGACCATTTGAATGTCACATGTGCAAGAAAACATTCAAAGAGTCCACCAAACTGGGGAGACACCAATTGACTCACGGAAGCGAACGACCATTCAAATGTCACGTGTGCAATGAAACATTCAAAGAATTCTGGAATCTGAAGAGACACAAATTCACGCACGGAAACGAACGACCATTCAAATGTCACGTGTGCAATGAAACATTCAAAGAATTCTGGAATCTGAAGAGACACAAATTGGCGCATGGAAACGAACGACCATTGAAATGTCACGTGTGCAATAAAACATTAAAATGGTCTAGCAGTCTGAAAATACACATATTGACGCACGAAAAAAACTTACGACCATTTAAATGTAGGGAATGTGGTAGGAATTTCGTTCACAAATATTATTTAAATAGACACATGAAAATACATAATAGTTCTAGTGAAAAGCTCTCTTCTACAGTAAACTCCTTAATAATATCGATAGGAGATATCATTGACACAGAAATATCAATAAGAGAAATAATTAGGATCGCAGGACTATAAATTAATGTATTGTGTTGGCTTAAGTTATACTATTTTATTTTACCGTTTGTGCTTTGTTCACTATTTCCTGATTGAATGTAAAAATTTGAATTTTGTAGAATTTTAAATTTTGAAGTTTTTGAATAAAAATTCTGATGTAAAGATTTGAAACTTTCAGCAATGGCTGAATCTATCTTCGACACAATAAACGAAATAAAACTACTGCAATTACTATACGTAGTTTTGATATTTACTACTATTATTAAGTAAGCAATAATATTTTTCTATTGCACTAAAATTAAATTTCGGAAAACATATAAACACATTTTATAGCAATGATAATTGATAACGTTGAGATGGCAAAATTTTTGAATAATTGCTTGATTTATTTGTTATCAGTTTTAATATTATTTTAAACTTATTAATCGAATAAGAATATAAAGAAAGAAAAAGAAATTATATCATTTCATTATCGATGAAGTGAATTGTTGACAGATACTATAATTGCTGAATATTTTCAGGAATAATTCAAAGTACTGAATGAATTCTAAATTTGAAAAATTATTGTTGAAATTAAAAACGAAAAATGGGCATTAAATAACTTTAAAACTTTCATTATCTATTTATCAATTTTATATCACATTGTGATATAACACAAATTAAGCACTTCTGTTCAAATTGATTGTTTTTAAATATCTTGTTTTATTTAATTATTTTTTTAAACTATAAGTACTGAAATATACATAAAATACTGCTTCTCTATAGAATTATGCTTTTAAAATTTGGGCAGTAACATCGGTATTAAATAATTTATTTCATATTTTTAAACTTTCAAACGATTCATTTTGTTTTTCTGTAATTTTATTATTTTTCAGATTTGTTTTGTTTTATGTAAATTTATGCTATCATCCCAATGTTATAAATTCTGCCAATATTATAAATCAATTAGTGAAAATGAAATTTATGTGTGATTGAAATAAACAATTGTCACTTTTGAATATTAAATCATTTTTGTAATTAAAAAATTTCACTAATTGACCTCTTAATATTTTACCAATTAATGTTTAAATTTCATTTGAGCTCGTGCACAAATTGAAATTTTGTTGAACATTTTTCACTTGGATACTAATAGTTCTAGAATATATTTAATATTCTTGTATGAGTTCATCGAAATTTTCATAATTATCCCTAATTACTTAAAAATAATTGAAATGAATTATCTATTATTAATCGTTAAACATAGGTTTAGAGGTAGTTATTCTGTTAATTTACCTTTTGTTTTGTTTTTTTTTCACTGAATTTTAGTTTGAAAAAAGAAATTAGCGCAACTTTTATTGATAGTAATGATAAAGTTGTAATTATTTAATCTTATTTTGAGGCATTTATTTCGGTATGAATACGAAATATTACAGTGATGAAATCAGATCAGAAATACTGCAAAATAAATATGCAATTGTGCTATTATCATCGTATCTGAAAATGGGATGCCATCCTATATCATTTCATGTATTCTTCGTCCATTAAACGGATAGCTTTATCCATTTATTTGCTTTTTTCGGAAAATTAATAAAGCGGAACAAATGCATGCAAGTGCAAATCCGTAGAAAAAGCTACGTAGTGTAGCAGCTTCCTGCCAAAAGTAATGATTAGAATTTGTACAGTTACAAGGATATTGAATAATTTCAGGTGAAATATTTTTCAGCATTGATTGTTTCCTGAAATTTAGCCAATCTCTTTCACTTCAATGATTAATTTATGAAATGAAAAAGGAAATATTGTTATAAGATAACAATACCAATTAAAGTATTATAAATAATATTGCTAACCTGTGATATGTTGATGAAATTGGTTGTGGATCATTTGAAGTTCTAGAATGATCAAATAAAGCTGTATGTCGTTGAATTTGTTTATGATGTTCATCAACTAATGATACTTTCGGTTCATTATCAATTCGTCTATGTGATATGCTACGATGCGAGGAAGAAAGCGGTGATTCTGTTTCTGATTCCAAACATACAAATTGTGCTTCTTGAAGTTGATGATCTATAAACTAAAGTTTATTTAAGAATGTGGAAAAAGGAAAAGAAAAACAATACGAGAGTTTGATGATCAGTAGTTTGAAGGATATTATCTAAATATGCATATATTATAAATATATTTACGAAAACTTTTCCTCTTGTTAAAAATATAATTATATCAAATTAATCATGATATATAATTATTTTCTTCAAAATGCTAACCGTTATGATCTAGTTGATTTTGATCCCAAAATTGTACAGGTGATAATCCGAAGCTTTCAGTAGAGTTTAATACTAACACTTTGTATGTGAAATCATGTTCCTGAGCAAATGAAAATTTTAAACAATAAAATTTTAAGCAATGTGTTGCTTTGTTGTTTTTTTTAAATAAATTTTCTTGTATAATTACTTATGAACAAATTAAGCGTTACTGCATCATTTACTCTTAAAGATGACAATATTAATTAACATTTAAAAACTGAAGTGAAAAAAGTTTTCAACAAATTAGTTATGATGCAAATGTGCTTTCAGATAAAATACAAAAGAGAAACCCTCTTTGATCGCGGTGTCTCATTTATTGAAATATCGACAAAACGGCAACCATTAGGTGCCAAATAATCAATTTCTGGACGAATGGAATATTTGATATTTATGGTATTTGGAACAATTTTAAAGATAAGTCTATAGGGTGATGTATTGACGAGGATTAAATTCGCTGTCTGTTTCTTCAAATTCTCTTTTAGCGGACGTGGCGTAAACGTAGGAAATGACGGTTCCACTACGATTGGCATGTCGGTAGTTTTTGGCCTCAAACCATTTTCCGGCACTGTGATTGACATCAGGACAGTAAGACAACCAGCATAAAAATGGTGCAGATTAAGCAAACGATTCACTTTTATAGTCCACTGAAAATGAAATTAGCATGAATTCGAATATTCCTTCAAATTCTCCTGACGACAATCCAGTTAAAATGCGCATACTACAAATTTAAATTTATTTCGAAGCTCTAAGAGAAGCTGAAAAAAGCAATGACACAGCCTCATAGCTGCCGGAAATACGAAATTTAACAAAGTAAACACTAGAAATCGGAATGCAGTATGTATGTGTGCAGTGGAATGAGTTATTTATCCTCTTCCCAAAAACTGAAAGAAACGTAATTCACGCCCGGTGCAAGTTAACTTTAATCGAAATTCTGATTAAATTAGAATTTAGAACTTTGAAAAGGCACTGCGACAAGCTATTTGACTGCGCTACAGTTCTTAGAACTGTACTAAATGTTGTTCAGTTTTAATAGCCCAATAGAGCAACACCACAAGTTTAAAGCAGACATAGATTCATATTATTGAAAGAATGTTGTCAAACAGTATATTACAAATTGAACTTTTATGCAAATAAACACATAAAGCAATCAAAAGGATACGAAATCAGCGCTTGCCGCCAACTCGTGGCTGCTGAGTTTTCATCGGTTTTGGTACTTTCATCTTCGGTGGGGCAGCCTTCTTCTCCTAAATTTCAATGTTCAATGTATAAAATAACCTTTATTTTTTTTTACAAAACATCTTAGTTAATCTTTATTGTAAAAATTTTATAAGAGAAGCAACAATTTTTGCATGAACCAGCTCGAGAAGAAATATAAGCTCGATCTATATTCTAGAATATAAATTCAAAAGACGATGAAGTGATATTTTCACTACTTGTGGTCAATATTTTGCATAAAGGTTTGATATTTTCATTGTTTATGATCAAGGCTTTGTATAAAGGTACTCAAGAACAGGACACATTAAAAAAACCCACCTTTAATGCCTTATTTGCTGCTTTCTTTTCAGTCTTTGATGCTCGCGCAGCTTCTTTCGCAGCTTTTATTGCCTGCTCACGCTGTGCACGTCGAAATTCTGGTTTCTGATTACGTTTTGCAAGTATAGCTTCCAGTGAAACATTACCAACTGCTCGAGATGCTATTTGTATAACACGTCGCGTACGCTTCTTTTGTGCATTTTCTTCCCCGTGAACACCCTTCAAGCAACATCCTCAATAAAATCCAACGAAAAACCACTATCCCAATATTACTGGTCAATTGTTCCAATCCATATTAATATCCCTGGACGGGACAGAACGAAAGAAAAAGTGATTATGCAGCCACCCTTTTAGGAATCATAGAAACCAAAACTGGAATCAGTAGAATACCTTATTACAGCTTTGATATGGCTACGCATGGCGTATGTTGAGATTTCAACTGCATTTAACAGCATCTTATCAAAACCTTTGAGCAACCCCTGGTATTCCAACTGTTGAAACAAAGTTCGACATCAGGCAGAGTTTAATTTTACAAACACAAACAGGGCGTGTGTCACTAATTTGCATTGTTCTAATTACAAAAGAAAAAAGAACCTTTTTGTGCTTGCGGCGATAGAGTACTGTCCACGGTATATCACGAGGATTTCGCTTTAATCTGTATGATCGCTGGCACTTTTTGTTCAGAAATATTTGAACCTGCATTAGAAAAGACTAAAGCATTCCAATACTTGAAAATGACATTTGAATAATAGAACCAATGAAATTTATAATACCAAATTTCATCTTATGAACAGCCATGGAATTAAGGGGATTGACAGGAAATTTTAGGAGAGAATTAATAGAGTAAGAGAATTTTTTTTTAATAGAGTAAGAGAATTGACAGGAAATTTTAGCAGAGAATTAATAGAGTAAGAGAATTTTTTTTTAATAGAGTAAGAGAATTGACAGGAAATTTTAGGGCTTCTTATACGAAGACATCAAACAAGGCAAAAGTTTTTAAGTGATAGAAACTATTTGAACAAACCATAAGATTGCCAAAACTATCACGAAGTTTCTCACAATATAATTTGCTTACTATTTCTGCCAAACTGTGCTCACTACACTTACTTACTATGCTTACTTACTATTGCTTACTATGCTCTTATGTGCCGTAAATATACTGTTGCTTCCTACAGTAATATAATATTCACAGAGAAAGTATCATGCTCAATTTCTCATAGACCCAAATGCCGATATTTTAACCCCTTTTACATGTCACATCCTTTATCTTCATGGTATTCTTTTCTTTTTCAAGCTGATGTATATTTCTTTTAGCACAAATTAACGTGTAACGTCGAAATATTTGTAAAAATATATGTATATACAATTTCCATAATACCTAATGTCAAGCGCAATTTACAACCACGATCGATTAGAAAGGTATAGGCACCTTTATGGCACAATTTCCAATAGAAAATTAAAAAAACAACCCACAAGTGGCACATTCAAAGTATGTGCATATTTCGAAGAATTTGCAAAAATTCATTGGCTTAAGATGAGTGGTTGATGGATATGTGCAATTAATGTAAGAAATTGGAAAAACATCAATATTCCAAGAAAGTGCCAGCAGATTGCTGGGAATATAAACTGCTTGAATATTTCCCTAAAAATCGATTACTGATTCAGATACACTACTAACCTTTCCATCAGCACGAACCATTCTTTTTCCATGTCCAGGATAAATCTTATATCCCGAATATACACAAGTTTCCAGCTTCATTTTTCAACTTTTCCTGAAAATTCAAAACATAGAGAACTAATGAATACGAGGACAGAGATCGCTGAGAATGAAAACTATGTGCAGAGGCATGATGATCGTACATCATATGCAAATTGCCTAACGTTCATGATTATGGTCAGAAGAGGAAACACCACCTTAATCAAAGTTTGACTTCAAATCAACAAAAATATAAAAATGAAAAAATTCAGGAAGAAATTAAGTAGAACAATTGAGATAAGCAAAATGAGCAAAAGCGTGAAAAACATTATAAGTGCAAAAAAAGAAATTCAATAACGCAATAATAATAACGCTGCTCTCTGAATAAGCAACAAGAAATAATCTCAAAAGCAACGGAAAAATTATAATGATTCATCAATGTTTACTCTCTGTAACAGATGTAAACATTACACATGCTGGTAGATTACATGAATATAACTACAAAATTACGATAAAATTACACACAGTGATCTTGAAACCACCAAGTCGAAAATGCCACAAATAATCACGCAAACGAATCAAGCCTACTAAAAATAGCAAACCAAGCAACCGAATTACGGTATTCAAAATTTCATTTTGTAACTCCTGCTGTGTATTGCAGCTATACTTATACAAACTACTAAAGATGAATTTGTAACATACAAGTATGCGTAACATTCATAACTTTTTTTGTTTCATTTCCTTTTCTATTTTATTCGATTTTTGTTCATTCAGTCTTCTGAAATAGTACTCGGAAAAGACGATGCAATCATGCTTGAAATGAAATTAATACCAGTTACGAAGTAATGATTCAAATTTTTTATTCAAGTATAAAATTTCCGCGATATATCAAGTGATAACAGATAAGAGCGATAGAGTAGTTATCATTTATCCAGTTCTAATAATGCTATTGAAAAAAAAATTAGCAACAAAATATCATATCGCTGTCTTAGAGGAATATTGGTATGGTAGAAAAACGGCCAATACCGCACATAAACACTCCGGCACGAATATAACCATATCCTTTTCTACCCCATGATGGGCCCCAGCTATAAGATTAATGATGATAATAGTTTGGCCGAAAAACAAAATTAAGTTAATTATAGTACCCGATATATTGAAAAGTTTATTTTGATATTTCAATCTCAGATGAATTGTCAACGAGTTATTACGTTATTTAATTTTCGCTTCTTCTTTAAAAGCCTATCGCCGACTTTATCATTTCATATTGATTACTACCATCTTCTCATTACTGAAATGAATTCAAAAACAAAATTCTCACTATTTTATAACACGTGAAAATTAAATTTCTTAAAATTTAATATACCTATTTCTGATGATGAAATATTTCTTTCCATTTTTCACACCATAACCAACTGCCACTACAGCATGATTTGTACTTTTTGGACAATCTGGATCATCATAAATACCTAAATTTTGTTAAATTAAAATTGCTTGTCAATTTGCATTTTTATATCTGTATGATTTATCTCTTTGGTTGTTTTTCTTTTCATAATTTTTCCCGCAAATTACTTACCACGATCATAACTTATAAAACCATATCTTGATGCATGTAATGAAATGCCAACTGGTCCATAAACTGCCAACATCCTTCTGATAACATCTTCATTACCATATGGTAAATAAACACCACCAGCTAATCCTTCTTTTATTTTTTTCGATGATCTATCACTCGGACATGATACACTATCATTTTCTTTATACGGATATCTTTCACTGGTCATTACACCATTCTCACTAACCCAATTAAAAACCTGAAAAAGAAAATTAATTATCCTTCAACAATAAAAATTAATTCATGTTTATTGCTAAGCGATAAATTTTTTACACACCTGCACTGCATTTCCACCCACTCCGTAACACTTTTCCAAATGACTACAATCCATTACATCCTGAACTGATAGCTCTACCGGTGGCTTTTTATTTCTAAGCGCTATATGCATTTCAAGAGCTGATAGCGCCGCGAAAATGTAACATACTCCACATTCACCCTGAAATTGATTGAAATTTATAAGAATATACAAATTATTTATTTGTTGAATAAAACAAAGAAAAGTAATCAAGAAAAATGATAATGAAACTGAAAGAAAAATATGGTTCGTCCAAACTGGAATTTATTAAATTTCAAAAAAGAAAAAAAATTTACTTACCTGAGCTTTCACCGGTGTTTTCGATACAGTTTTTCTGTAATCAATATGCCTTGGTATAGCCTTCTTTAGCTTTGATCCGAATAATTGGCCCATATTTGCTTCCTTTATTTCAGTCGCATTCAAAGAAAATCCGAAAAGCCTTTTTTTCTCTTCCTCAGTCTAATTAATAAAAAGACAAAATAAATTCGAAAATGAAAAAAGTAAAATTTAAAAACAAAAGAGAGAAAAGAGAACAATCGAATATAATTTCTAATAATTCACATTGCCATTTGTTTGAATATAAATTTAAATTTCATTTAATTTAACAAAAAATTTCCAACCCAATCGCTCATTTCATTCAATGATTGTTTATATGATTCCAATCCTTTTCTATAACGTTCGTTGTGTTTCTTAATCATTTTCA